ATTAATAACACTAGGTTGCTAAATAATAATTTTCTTGGACCTCGGTGTGCGTGTGTGTATGTATGTGTGTATACAAGTGTATACGTGTATGCATGTTTATTAGCCAGCACCTTGCGTTGTTGAACCCTCAGCTCACGAATCGGAAGGGTCAAACCCTTCCGCTTATACTTAAAAAAATATAATGTGTACCCTCCCTGAGCTCGCTCTGAAACTTTAAGAGACGCTTCTCATCCTTTCCCGTTCCACTACACATCTCATCTCATCTCGTCTCGTCTCGTCTCGTCTCGTCTCGTCTCCTCTTCTCTTTTCTCCTCTCCGTATCGTAATCCTTTTCACAGCCCTCATTTCGTTTCATTTTTTTTTATAACTTTCGTCCGTTTCCATACATTTTCCATTTGCGCAGATCACGCGCGTAACAATTTTCTTAGGTAACATATATAAATGTCTAATATACAATAAATAATTTGTTGCTCTTTTGAATATACAATTTCTCGCTTTCCGGTGCTTCGCGGCTTAAGTAATTTGTCCATAGTGTCCCTCCCGCAAGGTACACCAGATAAAATCTTTAGTTTCCCATTCTCGACACGTTAAGAACTAAATTTTGTACAAATTTCAACGAGTCGGGCGCCGTCCTGTCCCGATTTTACGCGAGAAAGAAACGGGGCCGCAGGAGAAGAAAGGACGCAGGACGAAGTACTGGGTCGGGACTACCTCTGACGACATCGTCACGCGGCGCCATAATATACATTTACATAGGTATAATACAAGGAACAAACGAAGCCAGAGAGAAAGATGGAAATAGAGAGAGAGAGAGAGAGAGAGAGAGAGAGAGAGAGAGAGAGAAAGGGACAGAGAAGCGGGTAGGGAGAGACAGACAGCGAAAGAGAGGGGAAAAAAAGAAAAGGAGAAAAAGAGATCGCGCTTTACAACATCTGAGGGATGTGCCAGGTCGGCGCGTCTCGATAAAGAGAACCGCTGAACGGTGACCTTTCGCGCGGATAGGGCCCTGCGACGGATCCGCGACGTCGCATCAGCGATAACGACAGCGACAGCGATGACAATGACAATGACAACGACAACGGTGGAGGTCGACGTTCGCGCGGGGCCCGCGCCGAGACGCTGTGCTGCTCTACTTCCTTCTTTTCCTTTTTCTCTCTCTCGTGCCCCACGGGACGGGCCGACTCCCTGTCTCATGCGCCCGTACAATCGATCTCGACGATGTCCTTCGGCACATCGACAAACTGGTAGACTAACCGCTGGCCGTCCACCTTCGCCAAGATGCCGCGCTGATAGTAATAGCGCAGTGCTCTGCCCATCGTCTCGTAATTCATGTCCGGCTTGTTCTTGTGTATGCCCCAAAGTCGCGAGACCGCCTTGCTGTCGACCAGCTTGAAAATGCCCCGTTCGCGATTCGTCCATTTAATGTAGCGCGGACAGTATTCATGATCCTGCAGCAGTTTGAGCAGGAATTCCCACAGGTACGTGGTCGAACCCTCGCGCGACTTCCGCTTTACTGCGGCTCCACCTTCGCCACCCTGTCGAGGTTTCTTCAGCTTGTTCTTCTTCGAGCGCGACGGGAAGCCGAGCTCGAGAAGGTAGAGATCGTCCGAGACCGAACTGGTAGCCGCCTGGATCACGCTGGTGGGTACACCGCCGGGTCCCCGCGGCGGGCTCGGGGTACAGGGGGTTGCAAACTGTCCACCTCCGCCATACATGTTTATATAACTGTTGTAGCTGTCGGACACTGAAAAAAGAGATGCGATTAAAGAAAGTCTTGCAAATAATTTCTGCATTATTATTTACATACTATGTACGAATCTTTATCTATATATAATATACAGCTATACAGAAAATACAGTTTTTTAATGTCTAAAAATTTAGCTAGATGATGACAATTCAACAAAATTATTCATACGACAGAAAAAACGATTTTTTATAATCTCTAAAAATTTAATTAAATATAGATCTGAAAATAATTTTGTTGGATCATCCAAATAATTATGTAGAACTGGTTGTTGGAATATCAAAACTTTTTACAGCATTATCATCAATATTTAAGCGTTTTATATAATAATTATTAAGACAATTATTTTAATGATATTATTCTGACAGTTCAACAAAATTATTCAGATCTGTATCCAGTTGAATTTTTAAATACTTGAACAAAACTATTCTTTTCGCGATAATGATCTATGATTTTTTTGTAGCAGGTTCTTGTATAATTATATATAATAAGTTAAATAAAATGGTCATGTAATAATGTGCATCTTGATCTGTCTTTTTTTGCTCATTATGCAACAAGCGTATATTTTCTCGAAGCATGAAGGACAATAACATATGGAAGTCACTTTATCATAAGAGAATCAATATCGTTACAACAATATCGTACAGAAACAACTTGGACATTTTGCGATAAAAGAAGGAGCTTGTCCTTGGAAAGGTTCTAATCGCATCCCAAAAGAATCCTAGACAAAGAGTGGCGTTATTATCTTGATTCGCGACAGAGAGTCGATAGTCGGTGTCAGCGTTTATCGCGTTAGTTTTCGCACCGAGTGACTTAAAGGTATACGTCGCAGTTGAACGGTGCAATCAAGTATTAATAGCCATCGTTCGCGAAGCGGCAAAGAGGGAAAACGTCGTTATCGCCTATCATCATTGTCGCATCGTTATCGATGCCTTTGTCATTTCCATCACTTGATTCATCGAACAAGAGAGTAGCTGTTTTCAATACTATCACTTGCTTCCACGTCTCTCATCAGCTATCTATCGTTCATGTTTGTGCTAAATATTTCTCCGGGCTTATTCGAAAAAAACAGAAGAAACAGCCCGGACAATAAAAGTTTAAAATCAGGATTCAAAATGTCTCATAAGATGTCTTAACTCTACATAACTCGCGTGATTTTTTTTTAACGTAATTACTCATGTATATAGATATAATTTCTGATACTCCACACTATACTTCCGTTTTCATTGTTTTCTTTAATGATTTACAATTAAATAATATTCTATAATATCTATAATATTTTTAACACCTTAAGATAAAGATAAATGTAAAAATCTTTTTTAAATTGTAACACAATTTGTGCTATAATAAATATATAAATATAATATGTATAAATAATATGTATAAATAACATTCATACATTTAGCAAATTTATGAAGCAGGGATGTCCTGGATACCCAAACAAGTAATAAAGGATTAAAGACTTTGCGAGAACCATCCAAAAGACGTCACATGCCCATTTCATCAATGTAACTTTAATCTCAATTTAACTTACTTTTTATCTTTTTCTCTAGTTCTAAGAATTAGAAAAGAATAAAAAGAAAATTAAAACGAGATTAAGGTTAATTCATATCAATAGAAATGGGCATTAATAAGATGTACCAATTTTGACTGAAAGAATTTGAGATCTGCCGAAATGTTGGTGTCTACACGATTTGTGATTTAGCCACGAAAGGATGCCACGCAATATCGATTGTGTCGATACGATCGTTCAGACGCGAGTGGCGAGTGCACACGATGACGATCCGAGTTTGTGCCGCGAGCATAGGACTGTGATCATGGTCCATGGGCGTAGGAAAACATGCAGGACGTGCACAAGAATCGCCACGCAGTTCTTCCTTCCTAAATGGAAGATTCTTTTCTCGCGAATTTCACATTGAAATGCAGCCGGCTGCCGGCGCTCTCTCAGGGAATCGTCAAGCTTCAGCATTTTTGTGAAAATTCAATAAGAAATCGCTTTTTAAAAAGTGAGTTTGGTCCAGAAAATTTTACAACTTTAATGCCATGTCTATTTTGATCTTGATAAAATTCATTGGTTCGGAATCAGCCGTGTCGGCTGTGTAAAACAAAAACATAAGTTTAATATTTGGAGGTATTATCGCGAAGAGATATTGGAGGAAATTGAAGTTTCGAAATTCGGTAAACATTATCTCGGCAGATTTTCTTATGAATCATTTTGAAAGGAAACAGACATTTGAATATACCCGAGAAAAGATATCACGTTTGCCACAACAAAAAGCAAGATTTTCAAAACTATAAAACCTCTTTTACATCGGTAAATGAGCGACGGTTAAGTACAGCTTTTATATGAAAAAGAAAACAAATTTTCCGCCGTGACACACGTACGCGCAAACATGCGCTGCGTTATGTCGAAAGAAAACGAAAGTTTCAAAGTTGCTTCGAGATAAATCTCGTGTTCTTTATATCAATAAAGTGATGAGTAACCAATGTCGCCATGCGGCTCCTATAGGAAAAAGAAAAAAGAAGAAATTCTCAGCATTTTGCACCTACGTGCACGCGACGATGGACGCGAGAATGATGAGAGAAAGCAAAAGTTTTGAAGCATTGCAACGAGGCGGTGAGAAGCTCTTTTCCCCTTACGCCACTGAGTCGAGAGGAAGAGGAGACGGACCGAGATAAAGAGACGAGAAGAGAGAGCGAGAGAGAAAGAGGGAGAGAGGGTTAAAGTGGAGAGTCGAGCGCGCGGCGAGCGGAGAGTGAGCGAGAGGGAGATGAGACGAGAGGGAGGGATGAGGGAATCGGGGAACTCTGCCTGCAGTATGATAGAGGACTGACCCGAGCCAAGGTTGCACGGGTGACGCCATCAAGCTACTAGTGCATAATAGCGCCGCTCGTTCTGAGGCCGCCGCAACTGCGCTAAAATCGGAACTCGTTCTCCAGCCCCTCGCGCTCCCTCCCGCCTCCCCTCCCTCCCCCCTTGTCTCCTCTCGTGCTTAGCCTTCCTCGTTGTCGCGTCACCCCCCCGCCCCTGTTCCCCCCTCTCTCTCTCTCTCTCTCTCATCATCTTCCTTTCCCGTCGCTCTCTCTCCCCGTTCTTCCTCTGACGCCTGCATCCTTCTAGCGCGTCGCGCGTTGCAGTTTCGTGGAGTCCCGCGTGGTTGAACGATTCTTCGGACGATTATTCGAGGTTTTCTGGTTTGTGAACCGATGGGACGAGAGAAGGCTGGAGCGAGCGAGGGAGAATATTTATTTGGCAATATTATTTCCTCCAGAGTGATGGAGTAGCAAAATACAAGTCATTCGAAATAACGGCATTTATGTACAACACGTTTATATGTCAAAACAGTTTAATATGAAGATATTAAGAAATTATGCAAAATTATCTCGAGCCAAGAAAAAAGAAGTAAATAGATAGAAATCCGCTTTATTATGCCACGAGCGAAAGTCTCTAATAAGATTGCAAGGTTGAACTACGTAGAAAATAATTGTAAACCAGTTCAAGAACACCAAGCGAAAATAGCAAGTAGTATACTAAATTCACGATATTTACATAATAAAAAATAAAAACAGAGAAGAATTTATTCTCGATTTTTCGATACATGAGATAACATAACGTAAATCCACTGAAACATTTCTGACTGGTGATAAACCGACGTAATGCGACAAGGTTTCAATAACTGTAAAGGCTGCGGTATAAATAGCGCGAGAGAAATGAAGCAATATTTGAGGATGAAGAGAGAAAGAGACGAATAGAAAAGGAGAGAAAAGGGGAAAAAGATGGGAATGAAAAACAGGAGAACGATAGGGGAGCAGAAGATTTTCGAGGTGGCTCTAAAAATACGGAGAACACGCCGTTGTTCTTGAGCAGTACGCTATATATGCGCGGATAGAACACGCGGGAACGCATGAGGAAACGTGGAGCGCACTCAAGAAGCGAGAGAGGGGGAAGGGAGGGAGGGAGGAAGGGAGGGAGGGAAGGAGGGAGCGCGAGAGAGAGAGAGAGAGAGAGAGAGAGAGAGAGAGAGAGAGAGAGAGAGAGAGAGAGAGAAAGGCGATATGTAGTAGCTGAGTAGCAAGAGGCTCCGAGAGCGCGCGAGAAGAACAGCTGGAGCGGATCGTGTTTACGCGCGGTATGACTGGCTAGATGAGTCAATCGTAGACCCGTTGTCTAGGAGCTGGCGCGGTGGGGGAACTGCTCCTACTTCACTGACCTATACCACGAGCGTTGTATAGCGCAGGAAAGCACCGCTAGAGACGACGCACCGCCAGCCGATGAGTCTGGTGCGTCGGCCGCACCGCATCGTGCCTTCCTAGAAGTCTCGGAAGTCTAGGATCGATCAGGAAGTGTGAATGATATAAGTTCGATGATATAAGTCTCTCAAAATCGATTTTCAGGTCTTTTTTCCAAACCAAATTCAAGCTCGAGCGTAAGAAATCTAGGATACTGAATTTGCCTTCGAAAAATGCACCTAAAAATTGGAGTTTAAAAGACTATGATTGCTTTGTATTTGATGACACAAACATCATTTCTATCTTTCTTGGTATTCAGTGAATAATAAAGTTAGAACGACACTTGTCTCTAAATGGAATGCATCATATGATATCAACGATAGAAAACGAGTGAAAATCTTGATAAATAGACGATTCAACATTTAAGGATTTAATAACAATGGCATTTATTCGCGACTGTAAAATCTATATGAGTTACGAGTAAAATTATCATATTTTTTTTTGAGATTGTAAAATGTCTGATCTTATTAATTAAAATTTTTCATTGTATTATATATTAATAAAAAAATTATGTTGTAGAAATTTTATTTTATTAAATACCTATATTTAATGCATGACAAAATTATATTACTTCGACCCTGAATCATCATTGTTTTTTTTTAAATGTATACACAAAAAGTGTACCTCATTTCTTTTGATTCAGATATAGCAATTTTAATTGCGAGAGATTCTCGAACAAATATAACATACATTTACAATTCTATAGCAAG